TGATTCCAGCATTTTTGCTCCAATACGAGTCCCCTAAGTGCCAGGAACTGTGGCTCCAGTAGGGAGGAACAGACCTGCCCCTCTCCTCTGAGCCCTCCATTCAAAGGGAGAAGATGGCAGACTCAGACTGTGGCAGGTTCTCAGGTGATGGGAAACAGGTGATACAATGGAATGTGAATGTAAGTGCTAAGCTTCTGATGAAGAGGGACAGAGCAGGTGAGGGGAGAGCTTTGTCAGGATGGCAGAGAGCGCAGGTTCTAGCAAGGGAGCCTGGAAGAAGTTCATGCAGAATGGCCGGAGTCAGGACTTCATTCTGCGTTCCAGAGCAGAAATGGATTTTGCTTTGTCCCCCTCCTCGTTTTAGAGGGATGGGTGCTGCGGAGCAAGGCTGTGAACAGGCGAGGCAGGGGTGTGACTGCATGGACTTGGATGCGCTCAGTACGGGGTTGGGGAAGTCCTAACTGAACGAGGAGAGGTGGGCGTGGATCAGGACTGGGTGGAGCCCAGCTGCTGCCTCCAGGGACCCTGTGGTCTCATGACTGTCCCCGAAAACAGGCACATGTGAGCACTGGGTCTCAGCAGGGAGTGGAGTTAAATGACATGAGCACAAATGCCCAATGCGGGTTAATCGCGTCCACCCCTCACACCCTGAGCCCCACCCTTATCTGTCCCAGGAGCCCAGGCTGCGTTGTTTTTGTTTGTCTGTTTTTAAAAGACAGCTTTATAGAGAGCCAGCAGGTAGCGCAGCAGAGTCAAGGCACTGGCTCCCACATGGCTGACTGCAGTTCAAGTCCCAGACCTGATGGCTTGAAGATCATGCTGGGTGCTGTGCATGCATGCCCAAAATTCCAGGAGAATGGAGGAGAAGGGATTGTGGCGTGGCCATCCCCCCAGGGGTGATTTCTCATTTTACCTCTCACTGTATATCTCTTTCTCTCCAGCAAGCACACGTGCCCTATGGCAAAAAAGAAAAAAAAGAAAGAAATCTTTAAAAAACAAAACAAAACAAAAAAACCTTGGGACCAGCAGTTAGCGTAATGGCTATGTCGCTGAACTCCCACGTAGTCGACCGCAGTTCGCGTCCCGGACCCGCTGGCTTAAACACACCAGGTGCATGTGCGTGCGTGCCCAAGATCCCGAGAGGAGAATGGAGGAGAAGGGATTGTGGCGTGGCCATCCCCCCTGGGGGGTGATTTCTCGCTTTCTGTCTCTCTGTCTGTCTCTGCCTTTCTGGTGAGCGCACGCGCCCTATAGCAAAACCTCTTTAAAAAAAAAAAAAAAGCAGCCTTATCAGTGCCTAATTTCCGTACTGTACAGGCCCCCGGTGTACAACTCGGTGGCTTACGGTACCGTCACAGGTCTGTGCAACCACTGTGACAATCTAAGGATAGGAATCTTTGTCACCCCGTGAAGGACCCCTTTGCCCATGAACAGCCGCCCCCCACTTCCCCTCCCTCCCAGCCCCTCTGCCTCCGGAAGACCTTACATCAATGGAATCACCCACCTTTGTGACTGGCTCGCCCACGGAGCGTGCTGTTTCCGAACTCCATGTCATGGCGTGATCCAGTCTTCCCTTCCTGTGACTGTGTTCAAAGTGCGTCAGAAGGCTCGTGTCCTGAGTGTCTCCTAGTGAGAAGGAGGGCCAGGAGGTCTGGGCAGCAGCCTGGCCCCTCCTGTGTCACTAATGAGCTCGGCCTCCCGCCGCGTTGATCTTAGGTGGCCGCCGGTGTTAGGAACGGGCCTAAGAGCCGAGCCCAGAAACCGCTGTGCGCAACAGGCCTCGGCTGGGGGAGCATGAAGCAGACCGAGGCCTTCGGCCGGGCCGAGGGGCTTCCCGCGTACACACTCGGGGTGGTTTCTTCTCACTGCTGTTTTGGCAGGGGGTGCGCTCTACCTTTTCAGTTATGTCTCATGTACTTGCTTCCTGGTGCACATACCATGTACGTGTGGTGTTACGTGACTTTTACTTATTGATTTTTAAGGTTTTTGCGCTTGCCAGAGAGTCAGTGAGAGGAAAAGCAGGAATCACACCCCCAATCCCCACCCCCAGAGTGGATGGCCGCGCTGCAATCCCTTCTCCTCCATTCTCCTCCTGGGATTTTGGGTGGGCACGCATATGCCCAGCGTGGTTTTTCAAGCTGCCAGGTCTAGGACTCGAACTGTGGTCTGCCATGTGGGAGTCCAGCACCTTAACTACTGTGCCATCTGCTGGCCCCAGCTGACTAATTTTAAAACAAACACACACATATTGGGATTCTTGTGCAGATGCCTTGGGTGTGCCTTCCAGAACATCAGTGACTGCAGACTGGAGGTGTGCTCTCAGTAAGGTGACAGCTTCACAGCCAGCAGCCACTCCCGGCTCTCGTGCCCCGTGTGTCCCCTCTGCGATTGCCGCAAGACGAAGGGCACGAGAAGTTCATCTCTCCGTCCCGAGAGCCTTTCGGCCTCTACCTACTGTGTTCCAGGACAGTGCTGGACACACGGGGTCAGAGACCTGCATCCGTGGCCCACTCGGTAGAGTTGAAAAACGGAAATACCTGTTAATGCTTCACCCTTTTTATTTTATTTTTAGTTTGCTGTAGGGCACATGTACTCACCAGAGAGACAGAAAGAGAGAGAGAGGGAAAGTGAGAAGTCACTCCCCAGGGGGAATGGCCACACTACAACCCTCTCCTCCATTGTCCTCTCAGGATGTGGGGCACGCCTGCATACAATACTGATGTGGTTTTTTTTTTTTGGAGAGATTTTCGCTATAGGGCGCGTGCGCTCGCCATACAGACAGAAAGAGACATAGAGACAGAAAGCGAGAAATCACTCCCCAGGGGGGATGGTCACGCCACAATCCCTTCTCCTCCATTCTCCTCTCGGGATCCTGGGCACACACGCACACGCGCCCGGCGTGAGTTTCAAGCCACCGGGTCCGGGACTCGAACCGCAGTCGACTACGTGGGAGTCCAGTGACATAGCCATTACGTTAACTGCTGGTTCCCCTAATACCGATGTGTTTTTCAAGTCACTGGATCCAGGACTTGCACCACACAGTCAGCCATATGGGATCCAGCTGCCCTAACCACGGTGCCGTCTGATGGCCCCAGCTTCCCTCCCTTCTTCGCTGTCGCGGCACGACTGTGGGCAGTCGGGGGAAGAACAAGAGGTCCCACCCTCGCTCCTGCTCACTGTGTGAATCCCTGGTCGACACCACTCCTGTTCCTTCCCACGTGTTCACCAAGGCCTTTGGCTGAGAACCGACTCCCAGGGCTGGCCCCCTGCACTTCCCTGCAGCCCCTACATGGCCTTGTCCCCCCTGCAGGCTCCATGACGGTGGTGACAGTCAAGGCCGTGGCCGGGATGCTGGTCTTGTCCATTCAGGGGAACCTGCAGCTCGACTACCCCATCTTCTACGTGATGTCCGTGTGCATGGTGGCCACCGCCATCTACCAAGCCGCGTGAGTTGCAGGTTGCTGTGCTGCTGGGCCTCGTCGCGGGCTCTCTTCGTCTGGGCCTGGCCGTGTGTGTGTGCAGGGGAGACGTTCAGATGACCTGGCTCTGGCATCTGTGTGGGGAGGAGTGGCTGTGTCATGGCGGGACGGGGCTGGGGCCGCTGGAGACCGAGCACTGGAGCGGGCGGGTTTCCCATCTGCCTCCATCCACAGGCGCACACAGTGGGCGGCAGCCTCAGCGTCCCTCTTCCCCAGGGCAGGCATCTGTTTCAAGGACTTTGGAAGACGCTTTGCCGTCCCCAGGAGGCACTGACTGGCCTGCTTGGTAGCACAAAGAAGTTATTTCTTGTCCTCAGGAAATCTCCGCCAGGTCCAGCTTCAGCAGCATAAGCTACAGGGCGCCACTGCAGATGCCGGGGCCATGTGGGAGGCCCTGGGTTCGGTTCCCCATGGGCCTGGCTGGAGGACCTGCTCTGGGTGGTCATTCTCTTTCTCAAGAACTAAAATAAAGAATTTGAAAAGAAATCTCCCCCAAATTTTCCAAGCAGTTGAGTGAGGTGCTGGGTCTCTCTGAGGATCCTGGCTCTGCAAATAGCAGAGCTGAGGCAAGGCCTATGTCTGCCCAGGCTGGGTGCTGGTGCCCGCAGAGGCCTGCAGGGCAAGAGACCCAGGAAGGTTGCAGGGGCTCACCTGCCGGGCTCTGCGTGTGTGTGTGTGCACGTGCGCACGCGCGCTGGTTCAGCCTGGGAAGGTCAGGCCCCGACTCAGGCCTGGGCTCCCTGCCCACGGCCCGTGGCTTTGTGGCACCTCAGGGGTGACTGCTGCTCCCCTGCACGCCGAGGGAGCCAGCCTTTCCTCTGCTGCCTTCAGGACCCACGCATTTGGCCCTTACAACACCTGGGAGGTAGAAGGCATTGTCCCCATTTTGCACAGGGGGAACTGAGGCAGAGAGGTTAAGAAGCCAAGAAGTGGCAGAGCTAAGATTTTGAACCTAGGCACCTGGCTGCCCAGCCCACATCCCTCCCCACTGCCCTACTGCCTCTTCCACAGCTTCTCTAGGACTGTGGTCCTTCATCTGCACATGGGAACAACCAGGTCCCCACCGAGGGACTCACGTAAGCTCCCACTGCCGGCATCCAGGGAAGACGAGCGGCTCTCCTGGCCATGGCCACCGCTGCTGTGTCCGTGGTCATTTCAGTCCAGCCGCGGCAGTGCCGTCATCCTGGGAGCCCTGCCCCACTGCCAAGGGCGAGGCTGGTGCCGGCCGCTCCCAGACTCACAGAGATGGCTCAGACCACCTGCCTGCCTCCTGGGGGGCCTCTCCTCCCATGCTCAGCACAGTCGGCCCAGGGCCTCACAGAAAGACGCGCTCACGGCCCTGCAGGCAGCATCATACCGCGTGGTGAGAACGTTATGCTCCAAGCAGCAATGTACTCACGTGCTGTGTGGACAGAGGACAGAGAATGTTCCCAGAACAAGAGCATTGTCCATCCTAAGTGAAGAGATGGGATAACTTGAATTTCCTCGCTCTGTTCCCTATCTTTACTTTTTTAAAAAGTTTGGTTTGTTTGTTTGTTTGTTTGTTTTTTAAGAATTATTCATTTCATTATTTTTCTTAATTTTCTATAGGATATGTGTGCTCACCAAAGAGAGACAGAAAGGGAGAAAGCAAGCCACCAGGTTCAGGGCTTGAACCATAGTCCATCATGTGGGAGTCCTGCGCCTTAACCAGTACGCCATCTGCTGGCCCCTAAAGCATTTATTCACAGTAGAGAACATGTGTGCACACGAGAGAGGGAGAGAGAGAGAGAGAAGGAGAGAGAAAGAGAGGGAGAGGGAGAGAGAGAAGCAGCCTCCACAGGGTCTCTTCACACTGCAGCCCTTCCCTAGCCCTCCAGCTCCCGGGCATGGCACACACACACCTGGTGTGTTTCCAGGGCTCTGAACTATGTGGTCAGCCATGCGGCTTCCCGCACTGCAGTTCAGGGTGCCAGTGACTGCCCCTCTAGGCTGGCATTCCCTGTATTTATTGCAATGGTCACAGTATTTTCAAATTAAGAAAACTTATTTTAAGAAAATTATACCACCAGGCAAATTATCCCCCCAAGTTTCAGGGGGAGGAGTGCAGACACCCCAGAACGGCTCTTTTTAGTGCAGGGGGTGTAGGGGTGTGGAGGTCGGCATTTCAGGCGACAAGGACCACATGGTCGAAGGTGTGGACCCAAGAGGGCATGGCCCCCTTGGGTAGTGGGGATGGGCCACCACCATGTGTCTAGGGGAAAGAGTGGGAACAGAGCCTGGACCCCAGCCCGAGGGATACAGAGTGCCCGGGCACACGAGGTGGCATCCTTACCAGCCTGGGAGGCTCTTGGTGCGTCCCCGTCATGTTTCAGACCTTGGCCTCTCCGACACTGACGGTGCTTTTGTGTTGCAGGTTTCTAAGTCAAGCCTCGCAGATGTACGACTCCTCTCTGATCGCCAGCGTGGGCTACATTCTGTCCACCACCATCGCTATTACGGCGGGTAAGGGCGGCCATCGCGAGACCGGGGGGCGTTCTCCAGGTGTGGATGGCGGGGCCTAGGCTCTCTCGGGGCTGGTTCTGCTGACTTGCTCTGCCAGGCAGAGCTCTACATGGTTTACAAAGAGTGTGTGCAGGATTCAGGCTGGAGAGGCCTGGGTTCACTTCCCAATGCAGACCCTCACTCGCTGTGTGGCTCTGAGAACATCACTTAACCTCTCTGAGCCTCAGTTTCACCTTCCTAAAATGGGAGTAATAACAGCTCCTAGAGTTACAAAATGTACAGTCCAAATCTCCCCTATTACTGGAGGATCTTGGAGGAGGTTTCTTTCTTTCTTTCTTTCTCTTTTCTTTCTTTCTTTTTTTTTTTTTTTTTTTTGTCATCTTTTGCAGTCCCTTCTAGCCACGGGACCAAGTCTCTTCCATATAATTTTTAGAAATCATAAATCATGAGTACGAGAGGTAGGGGGAAGGCTCTTCAAAAAGACTATGGATGAATTTCAAGTATTTTTGCACCAAAATAAACTGGTACTTTAATTCCATTTTCCCGCAAACTGTTTGAAGCCCGCTCGCATACAAAGCACCTGCCGCAGCGTAGGTGCTGGGTCAGAGGCCATTGTCCTTACGTTCCCTTTTCTGCTGCACCCGGAATGTTTTCCATTTTCTTTCTGAAGTGGCTTCAGAGGCTTCTGCATATTAGGGTTTTGTTTTGTTGTGTTTTGTTTTTCAATTTCCCTTAAAGTGGCAATGGTGCCTAACATCTTTAGTGTAAAAAGTCTGATAAGGAACAGGGCACCTGGAAATCCACATGCTTTGCACGGCCCTTCAGACAAGCAGGGCCCCAGTTCCTGCTCACTGAGGTAGGGACAAGCAGGGTACACACCTTCCAGGTCGTGCTGTGCCCGCTGCCGGGCACCTTGTGGAGAACTGACCCAGAGCAGCCGCAAGTTAAGTCAGGTCACGGCCAAAAACCTTGGTCAAGAAGCATGAACGCCAGGGAAGGCTGAAAGGGATGGTGAGCACCATGCTGGAGGTGGAGACGGCTCAAGGCAGGGGTTGGGAGCTGGGAGGACAGCGTGAGGCCCACGGGGTTGAAACGAGTGCAGACGGGCCGGCTACTGGGCAGGGCTGGTGGGCCCGTGCCACGCACGTGCCCACACCACACCACCGGTGTGGCCTGCAGGCTCGGCGTCCCGTGGCCGGGGGCTGGGGCAGCCCCAACGCCGTCAGTGCAAAGCCTTGCTAACCCGCGTTCGGGGTGCTGGGAGCAGGGCAGGGCCACATGCCGCGGCGTTGGGCCGTCCTGTTGTGGATGTCTTGGTTTCCATCCCACGCTCCGGCTATGGAAGATGGCGCTGGGGCCAGCTGGGAGGAGGAACGTGGGAACGAGGCACTATTTTCATGAGTCTGAGTCCATCTCCAAACAAAAAGGTTTTACAAAGGTAGAGGTAAGTGGGGAAGTAAGAAGATGCCCTGTCCCCCATGGCTTCTCTCCATCCTGAGAGTTGACCAGGCCCAGTCGTGCTGTTTTCCATCAGGCCGCTTTCCTGCAGGGAAGGGAGCTTAGCCAGGTCGCAGGTGCCTGGGAAACCGCTCACGGGTGTTCCTTGCTCTTGGCTGCCGCAGGGGCCGTGTTTTACCTGGACTTCCTCGGGGAGGACGTGCTGCACATCTGCATGTTTGCGCTGGGGTGAGTCCAGCCACGGCCGCCCAGGCCTGCGTGTGGGGCCCCGGGCCGCCTGCCCCTCTCCCCTTAGTCTCAGCCCTTAGCATCAGGGGAGCCTCTGGGCTGGGAGTTCTGTCCCCAGCTGAGCGCTCGACTCCCGGCGGGGTTTTCTTTTCTCCTCCTCCCCTTTCGAGCCTGAATCTCCTTGTCATTTCTAAACTGCCCCATTTCGACACTGAGGGGACTTACTCACTGCAGAGCTCAGAAATGCCCATGGAAGCTGCGTGGGATACGTCATTTTGTAAAAACGAACAGGAGTGGTCATATTGTATGTTGGCAAGAGAACTCAGCACCCCATTACCACACGGAGCTTCAGTGTGGAAGGACAATTTGGCAAGATGAATAAACATTTTAAATGAGCACACTTTTTGATATAGCATTCTATTTCTTTCCTTTTTCCTTCTTTTCTTTTCTTTTTTAGGTTTTTACCATAGGGTACATTCACTCGCCAGAAAGAGACAGAGAAACGGAAAGTGAGAATACGCTCCCCGGGGCGGGGAAGATGGTCACGCTGCAGTCCCCTCCCCTGGGATCGGGGTCATGCATACACACCTACACACGTCCTGTGTGATTTTCAACCTGCCGGGTCTGGGACTAGAATGTGCTCAGCCATATGGGAGTCCAGCACCTTCACTACCAAGCCACCTGCTGACCCCACATTCCATTTCTAATCATTCTTCTTGGAAAATACTAGAACGGGGACACAAAGACACATGTGTGGGACTGTTGATTAATTTTTGAATGAGTTGTATAAGTTGATATTGGAAGGAGCTTACATGCCCAGCAGTTGAACCCGAGATAGATAAGTTACGGCTATCCTTATAATCCAGTGGCGTGCTGCCATTTTGAAAAGCTGAGAGCAGCCTGCAGGTTCTGGCATAGAGCCATAGCTAAGACACGTTAAATGAAAAAAAGCTTACCGAGTGTTTTAAGTGGGACCTG